ACGACGATTGCCCATACTACTCGCAGACGAAGTTTTCGCAGGTTGAAACGTATGGAGCCTTCAGAAATTCCCAGTCTTCTTGCAATTTCCCTATTAGACACTCCTTCTGTATACAGTGCTTCAATGTTCCCTTTAGTAAATTCTGACAATTCCCTAACTTTCGGCATGGCTCAATGTTTGTAAATAAAAATTACGTATCTGACACTATGACCTCGATAGGAATATTCATGAACTACAACTGACAGGTATTCCTGCCCAGAAGCGCGTGTTTAAATAATTTCAGCTTCCCAATTGGTTCAAATTTGCATGAGAAAGGACACGACTATCGCACATGTTTTATGGCGCGAAGTTTTAATGAGATGCAAATGATATGCAAATGAGCGCGCTCCCATAGAGTTAACCATGGCGATTTTCGCTCACTGAAAAAACGTCTACATACAAAAAAACTAAACACAAATCAACCATTTTATTTTGACTAAAATGCACTAGTTCTTCTTAAATTTAGTATATTTTAAAGTCAACACATCATGTTACCCGGAATTGTTATTTTTAGTTACGAAAACGATCAAATGACAGGTGCGTAAATACTTTCTGGCGGGTCTGTAGGTTCAAGGGGCATACTTATGGTCTCCACATAATAATAATTTTTGATGTTGTACATTTTCTTGTATTTGTGATTATTTCAGGTTTGTTGCTAAGTCCTATGATGACATCACTGGTTGGTTAGCACTAGGTAACAAGCAACGAGCCACTGCATCGACCGGTATGAATGATAAGTCAAGCCGATCACATTCAGTATTTACTATTGTACTTACACAGAAAAAGGTAAAACTTCAAAGAGTTAGAGATTACTTTTTTAATTTTCATGATTTACATTACATTTAATTACATTATTTCATATTTATCATAATACAATGTATACATCAATTTAATCTGATTTGATTATGTGATTTAATCTTATGATTTGAAAAACATGATTGATTGATTTAATCTTCATTATTTGATAGACATGATCGTTTGTTAATTTCACTATTGATCTTGCTACTGATGCTGTTACATTTAGTATCAGTGTTGGTTCTGATAATGAAATTGACATATAATCAATGTAAATTTTGCTGTAAATCAAACAATAGAGTTCTCAGGAGTGGAACTATGTCACAGAACGTTCTACGCTGCACCACGTATTTCTATGGGCTATGCGCAAGCTGCTGTGGAGCGCCGGTTGAAGAACTGGTAAAAATATATGCGAACTCAAATTTGAAGTAATCCTGAGCAACCAAATTTATATATGTTGCACATGTAGGGGTAGTTTTGTTACACTGTAAAGGAAAGTGTTAACAACTACTGTAGATACTTTATTTTCGCTATTTTCGCTGAAGGGATGATTCCGTGAAAATAAAATCCAGTGAATATACATTTTTTCCTATATTTTACATTAATCTCATCAAAAATCAGTGAAAATAAATTCCAAGCAAAACGCCCAAAAAGATTTTTCAGCGAAAATAAAGTATTCCACAGTATCTGAAAGTACAGTTTTCGACTTTTGATTTCACCGTGATGGTTGCCAGGCAGTAAAAATGCCTGGATGTCTGCCCTTGAGAATAAAGTCATGCATGCAATCACATGTTATGCGATTTGATTGGTAAAGATGGTTCAGCCATGTTAGAAATATGTATTATGTTTAAATACCTGTTGGTGTTATAAAGTTATCTTTCTATTTCAGACTGAGATGATAGAAGGTGAAGCTCATGAACACTCACGGACAAGTCGAATAAACTTGATTGATTTGGCTGGAAGTGAGAGGTGTACTTCTGCTGAGACCACGGGAACCAGACTCCGGGTAAGTTGAAGTATTCAAACATTGTGCATTGTCTGTTACAATCTAGGAACAGAATGGAGCTTATTGTAATATTGATCTTGGTGAACCTTCTAAACATGGCTTGAAATTAACAGAGACTTCCAATTCTTGTTTTTATGGGGCTACCATTTTTCAAATGTCACAGCCTGAATGAAATACTAGAAGTTTACAAAAAAAAATTACACTTTGTTTTTTCGTTGAAAAAAAATACACTTTGTGTGTTCAAAGTTATGGGTGTCCTACACAAATTGAGCAATGTGACATTTATCCTTCATTACTTTGCAATATGTTGTTGCTGTGTCTTGAGTACATGACAAATACACTTGATTAGTTATATGTTCACTTTATTTTCTAAATGTCTAAGTATTGCTGTAAGAGTTGCGTGATTTATCAAGGAGTTATCGGTTGCCACACTTGTTTACGTTTTGCAAGCATACACAGTGACCGATCGGCAAGAACCAGTTGTTCGAACCAGAAGATAACAATTTTGCTATTGTAATTAAATATACATGTATGTAGTAATAAAGCAGTTTACATCTACACTTTGTATGCAATGTTTAAATAGAAAATGAATTATCTTTCCTGACAAATTCTTTTACAGAATGCACTTGGTATTTTTAGAGATATACTCTATGCATGTGATTTTGTGACCATCTTGCAATGTGTTCAACTTGACGTCTTCATTGCATACCACATCTGTTGCATACCCCTATTGTATAAATTCTTGATACAGCCACAATCCTATTGACTGATGATAAATATTTGATGTTCTACAGGAGGGAGCCAGTATCAACAAGTCTCTGCATACCCTGGGTAAGGTGATATCATCACTATCTGAAAGATCTATGCATAAAAAGAAGAAAGTATTCATACCATACAGAGACTCTGTTTTGACTTGGTAAGTAGAAGCATAATAAGTCCAGTCACTTTTTCCTGTATTGCTAATATTAAAAAAGGAACCCCTTTCATTTTGAACAAAGAAGGGAACATATTTGAATATAATATTTGATTTCTGGTAATAGTTGCACAATCAAATTAATTTTATGCGTGGTTGCCCTGGGATACTTATAATTTGATAATACACAAATATTTATATACTACTCAAGATGAATTACAAATCCTAAAAGCATTTCACTAGGTCGTTATCAGAATTTTAGAAAACATGAATGACATGAAAATTTATAATATTAAGTATATCCGGGTATGCTTGATTTCAGAAAACAAACTTTTTTTTTTATCAGGGCATAACACACACTGTTAACTTTTACAGGTTGCTGAAAGAAAGTCTGGGTGGAAATTCAAAGACTTCCATGATTGCTACCATTGGACCATCGAATAGACATTTTGAGGAAACAATGAGCACACTCAGATATGCCAAACAAGCAAGAACTATTGTGAATATCGCTAAGATCAACGAGGACCCAAGTGCCAGGCTTATTAGAGGTGTGTACCTTTAATTATGATCCAGTATAGTCTTCTGCTGGATGTGCTATTTGTGCGTTTCTGCTGCCATCATAGTTAGAGACATTTCTACCTAAGTGATAGAGGGTCAACAAAGAAGGGGGCATTGACGCTGCAGTTCGGCGTCTTCTACACCGATCTGACGCATATCGCGCTAGGTGTGCTGGGAGTTTGTTCGAAATTTCGAACGTTTCGAAGTCAATCGTCAATTGCCATGTATTTTACGGATATATTAAATCGTTTCAGAGACCTGTTTACTAAATAATGATAAATGAAACTTAGAAAACTTGTAAGAACAAACTGGGCCCAAATTGCGCAAATTGCAATAAGTTTACGCTGCTAGAGTCTGGTTCGGATGGAGTTCTACGCGTGATTTTATTGCGCTCAAGGACGTTCTATTTTCGAACTAGTTGAAACCGGAAATAAGGCAACTACTTTTGAACTTCAAACACAAATTTGATTATCGTTATTATGTGTTAGTTTCTGTTTTAAAGATTAAATTATGTATGACAATAATATTTCACTCTATAAACAATATTTCACTAAAATATGTGATTCAAAGGCAACCCAAATTGTAAAAAGCAATATCAAGTTCCGCGTATAAACACTGTTGTAAAGAGGCGGCGGAGCGGAATATTAGCCAAAATCGGCGAGTAAGGCGTCATATGACACAGGTTTGTGCTGGGACAGCGCTTCCGGTGACGACACAACGAGAAGGGGGTGCTTTATGGTCACGCGGCCTATCTGTATTTACTAATATTTGACCCGAACTAATAAAATACTTGAGTTGCTTAGCAACTTGTGATTACCGGTACTGTGCTGTGTAAACGATATGATTGTGGTAGCTAAGAACAGATAGAATGTCTTACTACTTTGGAAGGACTGTCTTGTGTTTATATTTTCATAACTCATTTTGACGTTGCTTCTGATCTACCGGTACGTGTAAATTTTGCTCACGATGGCAATTCAAAGGTCATATCCTTGTTTGTGTTATTAGCGTTGTTGTTTTTTTTTACTAACCCTTCCTCTTAAGTGACATTATGAAAAAAATATCTTAAAGTTGCACTTTTCAAGCATTAATATTGCTAGGACTATTGTGTGAAAAATTTGATGGTCTGAATGTGTGTGAATTGTGGGAGATGTAGAATAACCACATTTCAGTGTATCTCAATGTTGACAATGGTTTCAGCTTCCCATTTGATTGTGCTTTTGAATTTCCTTTGAACCCTTTTGAGAATTAGTGTGTTAGTATATGTGTGAATTTACATAGACTCACTGTGTGGATTCATACAAATTCGCTGTGTGGCTTCACACGAGTTTGTTATGTGGGTTCTTAGGTTCGGTGTGGGTCCATACTGATTCGCTGTGTGAGTTCATGTGGATTCACATGAGTTTGCTGTGTAGATTCTTAGAGATTCCCTGCTGTTCCAAATTACTATGGGTCATAGTAATTTGAATCCTGGTGAATCCTTATTTGTTCCTGAGAATTCAATCAAATATAATCTCAAGGTGCCAATAAAGCTCTATGAATATTCTCCACGGAACAATTTTAAAAATGAGGAATTCTTAATATCAAAATTTGGTTAGAATTAAACTTTAATAGTATCATATTTTATCGCTTCATTCTTATAACTTGTTTAATTAATGTGTTAAAGCAATGTTATTATCATGTTCATTTGAAATCAGTAAACAGTCTCGAATGCAATTATTCACTGTTTTTTTAATTTCGCTATTTCCACTGAAAAGTATAATTTGCTCAATTCACATAAACATGTCGAATAACAATAGAACTCAATGTTTTCCTGTCAATAGACCATTTTCTGTTATGCGTGAAATTGAACGTAAAAACGAGACAAACAAAGGTCATAGTGTCGTAGTGGTAACAAACATCACGTGGAATTTGACAATCGCAAAAGTATTTTTGGGGATATTTCCATGCTTAATAATGTGCAGTACACATTTGATGATGGTCAATTTCGATGAAGTAAGGGTATTCCAATGTAATATTCCCCTGTCAAAGATCAGCCTTTCGATGTGAGCTATGAAATAAACAAATTCAAGTCAGGGAGAATAAATGGTTTTACAGTATCTGTTGTTTCTTCTTTATAGAACTGAGAGCCGAAATTGAGAAGCTAAAAGGACAGACTAACGGGGGCACAGTGTCGGAGAATGATTACTTGGCTAGTCTTGGTGAGATAGCATCACTAAAAGAACGTTTACAGGACTCTGAGTTGGCCATGGCTGAAGCCACCAAGACCTGGAAAGATAAACTGGCTCAGTCTGAGAGGAGTAAGATTGAAGAGTCTAGGGAGCTTGAGGTTAGTTGTGTATAAAATCAAAGAAATAAATTATCTACAGACGATGCAACATGTATACATTATAAACCTAACTCAGTTTCTAGTTTTATCTTTTTACTTGTAAACAAAACTACATCACCATTAAAGCGGGGGAGTCGTCACCTGTGCGTACGTCAGATGGCCATACATGTAGCGGGTCAGTGTTTACAAACAAGCATCTACCCGTGAGCCTTTGCGTTTTTAGCGTGTGTTAGTATAGTTGCTTGGGACTCAATTCCCGCGCGTGCGCAGAGGACGACCCTCTCGCTTTAACTATGAAAATGGTGTAAGTACAACTGTAGCAAACAATAATGATTTGCTGTAAATAAATAAATTTCACATATTAAAAAAATTAATTTCACATAATTTTCTACTTCTTCTCTAAGAGAGCTGGTGTGGCATTCAAAATAGACAACACTCTGCCTAATTTGGTGAATCTAAATGAAGATCCTCAACTCTCTGAAGTATTGTTGTATCTATTGAAAGCTGGTGTTAATAGAGTAGGACATATGGAAGGTGACAGTCAGCATGAAATCCAACTATCTGGTGCTCTAGTTGGGAAGAACCATTGGTATGTCTAATCAGTCGAACTCTTATTCAACCTATTAAAAAAAAAGCAAAACATTTATCAAAATGTTGGGAAATTGTTTATTTTGATGCAAATCTTTGATTAGAGTGTTTTGTCTATGATATCTCCATGTTAATCCATTGTTATGAGAATAATGAATGAGACATTATCTGATTGGATGAGGAGTTGATTCAGTTTGATATAAACCATAGACCCTCTAACAGAGGGTCTATGTATAAACAGAGAATTGAAATTAAATGTGTCACTGTGTGTAAGTTCATTATTGTTATTATGGTTAACCATCAGTATGTTTTGTGGATTTAATCTGTGGTTAGTTAGGCTTTTCAATATATCAGTGTCAGATTTGAAGGTTCGCAATCATATTGGAGGACAGTCTTATGCATCAGTGATTGCACACCTTGCCTGTTACTACATGTACACAGATTTCTGTGATATTTAATTCTAAGTTATTTTATAATTTCAGTAACATCAACAATGTTGACAACATTGTGACAATAACACCCCTTGATGAAGCGCAGACATATGTGAATGGCTCTTTGATTGAAGGGCCAACTGTCCTGCATCACGTAAGTTATATCAAAGATTAGGGTGTGCAGATTTCCTAACCATGTACCGTAACTTTGAAATACATAAGTGATGAGAATCTAGAGTGGGTCCCACACGCCTGTCAGTTGATTTTAAATCTGACCAATAACATTGTAGAATATGGGTGTTGGTGACCGTGGGAAGATGCGATTGCCAAATTAGAATTGAGCGAGAATATCACTGAAACTCAGTCATTGGAAAATAAAAAAATTTCATTTTTTTTTAAAAGCAGTTTAAAGAATTCTGCACATAATTATTAAGTAGTATTTACTCTATTGTTTTGCCTTTAAACCAATTTGAAATGATTGTTTGAATTGTCCATGCAGGGAGATCGATTGGTAATTGGGGACCACTATTTCAGAGTCAACCATCCCCATGAGGTGAAGTCGGGGCGAAGGAAATCAACTGCCGGTATGCCCATAGATTTTGAGTTCGCTAAGAATGAATTGATAACTCAACAGAATACAAAGTAAGTGATTCTTTTTAAATTATATTTGAATCTGGAATTGGTCAAATTTTCTATTGTTATCGTGTATTTGTTTCTGTGTTAGATTCACGTTTCTTATACAAGTGCCAAACATAGTTAGAGGTATTCTAGGAATAGTTCACTTTGATGTATAAAATTATTATTTTAGATTAGAGCGATATTATTTGAAGATCGTGTATTATGGTGATGGCTTTCTAACTCTGTAGTATTTCACTTAAAAGTAACACTCTATATTAAAGTTTGAGGATTTGCTTCATACTGAGTTACTGTGAAGTACAGTAATTGTGAATATAGGTGATATATTGTCAGTCTATATGCATCACTATTCCAATTGGAAGTTTAAACAATCGCCAACATGCAGACTTGTTGAAAATCATTGCAATTTGAACATTAGTGGATACTTTCTGCAATTCCCACATTTTTATATCATCAATATTAAGACTTGCACAACTTGTAAATCCTATGGAATGGGTACATTAATCATTATTATATTAACTTTGAAATACATTGCATATTACAGACTAGAGGTGGAGCTTGAAGAAGCAAGACTGAAAGCCCAGGAAGAAATCATGATTGAAATTCAGAAAGCCAAAGTAAGTTCATGCTGTCATTGCACTTACAAAACCACACGCCAACAGATTTTGATCAACTTTAAAATGGGATCACATCTAATTAGAGTTGGGAAAACTTATTTTGAAGCCCTTGGCATATGATATAATATAATATTTTAAATGCAACAGTTACAGTATTCATAATATATCCTAATCAGAAATTGTCACCAAATCTGATGCGAGATTGAGTTGTTCCCAATCTTACATCATTTTTGACTATGTTATTTGTGTTACCAATACGTCTGAGTGAACATCAAGAATTACGTAGGATCACTAATGCATGACAAATTTATTGTAGTGTAGAAAATTAATAATTTATAGTATTCGATAAATGACGAAGTACATCAGGTTTTGATGAGTTTAACTCGTCGTAACCTTCAAATTTGATTTTTGATAAAGTTAAAACAAATTTAAAAGGACTTTCAAGAAAGTTATGCCGACAATACAATTTTAATCCTTTGAATGTCAACGTAAACTTTTGTCTCACAAAATTATTTAGTCTTAGTTTGATGCTTTTATGTTTTCTTTTATTTGACTTGCTTTGGATAGGAAACAGCACAACGTGAAATGGATAATCAGAAAAATGACTACGAAAACCGAATGACAAGGCTGGAACAGCAGCTGGTAAGCATGTGATTCACTTCTTTATAATTGTGTAATAAGTATATGGACTTCCTCAACAACAGAATCATTATTTATGGAAACGTTTCTATTGGACTTCCTAGGTTGCTTCAAGTTATTGCACAGGCACTTCGAGAATCCCAAGAGCACATTTCCTGTGACCTGTCGTTGTAAATTCCAGAAATCAAAACCTCTCACTGGTAATCTCTGCCACATGACATACTTATGACGTGGTCTTCATAAGCACACACTGTAAAACTTTAGTGAAGGTGCTTGGTGTTGCTGTGGAACATTGGCCATTTCTTATCATTTATAATAACTTGCAACCTAACGACAGAGGGACACAATATTGTTTACAAAGAGATGTTTTTGAAGAGTATTTGCATGCAAACTTGAATTGTATTTGAGTCAATTTTCCAATTTTGTGTCAGTATAAAACTAATCAACGTCAAATCAAAAATCCCTGCAATGTTCCTAGAAATAATGCAATGCTGCAGTGGAAACCATTAGAAAATTATGGTCTTTCTGATCACCTTTTAAACCAAAATAAACAAAAAATTGGCTGTACACAAAATCATTTGTATTTAAAAATATTATTTCTTTTGACTATAGAAAATTCTAATTAGTATAGTTTATTAATGCGCTACCAATAGAGAAAATACTGTACTATGATTTATACTATCACATTCTACAACATCAGAGTTACTTGTTCTTTTTATGACAACCATGTGTTTTCTATCTGCTTTGCAGCAAAAAGAGAGCGAAGGAAGGGAATTGGAAGAGAGAATCAAGCAGGAAGCAGAGGAAAAGATTTTTGCTTTGGAAGAACAGAAAAGGGTGAGAAGCATTTTTAATCATGAAAATGGGCATTGTAAAAAGGATGGAAAAACAAATGTAAAATATTTTATACTGTGCATGGACAAGGACCCTTTTTCATACATTGCTGTAATGTTTGTGATATACATATGCAGATTTGTCCTGATCTGGTACTTTGTAAACTACATTCAACTTGCTCTACAAAATATAAACAAACTTTAAGCCCTATCTTTAATTTTGCGAAACAAATGTACAACTTAGTTGGAATTCTGATACATGTATTTAAAGACTGAGAGTCACTGTGACTTTTCCTGTGTTACCAGGGAGTCAGAGTGGCTTTCCCTGGGTTCCTAGGGATTCAATGTCTCATGAGTCACAGTGACTTTCCCTGGGTTCCTAGGAAGTCACAGTGGCATTCCCTGGGTTCCTAGGGATTCAATGTCTCATGAGTCGCAGTGACTTTCCCTGGGTTCCTAGGGATTCAATGTCTCATGAGTCACAGTGACTTTCCCTGGGTTCCTAAGAAGTCACAGTGGCTTTCCCTGGGTTCCTAGGAAGTCTAGTGACTTTTGTGAAATTACATCCCGTCATTAAAGCTGCAGTATATGTAGTATACTAATAACATACATGTATGTAATAAAATGAGCTATTAATACTATCGTTTTCGAGTTAAATGTACGTCAGAACTTGTCTTGTTTAATTTTTGTTTGTAAAACGCTCAATGCAACTAGCCCAGGAAGTATGAACAGATGCTATGAAATCTCATATATCATGTATAAATTTATAAGGACAGGACAACTTGAGAAGTGGATTCATCAAACAAATCCCTGACCTGCTTCTTATTGCTGATTATTCAAGTAGGCAGTTATTTTCGTGTGCAATTCAATGGACTTGTTGATGCTCTAAGATGTTTAGGGGGGGGCAAGGGTTATTTTCGTTCAACGTAATTGCAATATTTTTTGGTTCGTACAACGTAAATTGAAAAAATAAATTCCGTAATTCTGTAATCACAGGCTAGACGTACAACGTAATCAATCAAATATTTTTTTCGTACACTGTAAAATGTGTCATTTTTCTCGGTACGTACAAGAATTTACATCCAAATAATAAAATTGTAAAGAATAATCCAGGAAAATTACATTTTAGAAACTGTAAAACGACTAGATGACACAATTCACTGCAAAATTGAATGTCAAGACGTAAAAGGCCCTCTAACCGAATGAAGAGCATTACGAGGGTAATATGCGCATGCGTCTCTACACGCGGCACAGCAATGGCGGAGAATGTGAGTCGGAGAGCTCTTCGGACCATTCAATGTTCCATTTTTCATCACTGTAAACTGTAAAAGCGTCTTTTTTTTCTTTGTAAATTGTAAAAAGCCCTTGTTATTTCCCGTAAAACTGTACCAGCTACCCCCCCTTGCCCACCCTCTTTAAAATTTGATCATAACCGAATCTCCATAAATGCTTGGCGATGTTTGGGTGTTTGCTCACAATGTCTGACCTAGATATCTTGCAAATACTGTAGTTGCTATTTGGTACATCGCACATATGCTACAAACAAAATATTTCCGAGAATGCAGCTCAAGTCACAAAAAAATGAAAACTGTTTTCAATTCCTCTAAAGATAAAGGGGAAAGTCAATTAATATGGTTACATATACTCTGTAGATGCTGGAACAGGAAGTGAACGCAAACAGGAAACGTCTACAGATGGAGGCCGTCGCTGCGAGGCAGGCTTTGGATGACACAAAGTGTTACCAGGCCAGGATTCTACAAGAGCTTGACAGTGAGAAAAAGAGAATAGCCAGGGACGTGGAAAGACTGCAGAGAGTGAAAAAAGCACGGGAAGAAGAGAAAGCCAAGAGAGGATCAGGTACACTTTTTTCCTTCCCACTCATTCACTCATTTGTTTGAGTTCAGGTTAATTTCATTAGTAGGGAACTACTAAAGGTAAACCTTTGTAGTATACAATTGTCCCATGGACCAATGCATACTTAACTTACCTTATTTAGCTCATGTTTTTATTGGATTATATCAAAATTGAAAAAAAATTAGTTTTTAGTCTCTGTTTAGAACAAAGTCTGAAATTGGGAACTATTAATTTGGGTTTCGTCAGTCTGTGTGTCCATCCGAGGGCATTTCTCTCACATACTTTGATCAAACACACTTCAAACATAAAACCTCGCCATGTATGATGACAATGATGCACGTTGGTTTCCATAACCAAATTGCTCTATTAATATCACATGCATTAAATCCATAAATGAAGTATTTTAATGTTCCTGTGTACATAAAATGCAATTTTTGATTCATGTGCTCTTCTATTAGAGGTGTGCTTTTATTTGAAATGTGCTTCTAATAGAACAAATACAGTAACTAATATGTTTATCTCCCTATAGACTATGCAAGGAGAAGCAGCAGACGTGATCTTCTTAGGCTATCCATGTGGTTACAGGAAGCTAATAATATCAGTAAAAGTCTCAAGAAACGCACGGTATGACATGCAGCTACATACACCTGATTAATACGGCACACATGTGTAGACATAAAAACAATTACCACTGGTTGCATGGTGGTTATTGCATAGAAGCCACTCGCCTAACTCATTTTGATTACAGGAAGCTAATAATATCAGTAAAAGTCTCAACAAACGCACGGTATAGCATGCAGCTACATACACCTGATTAATACAGCACACATGTGTAGACATAAAAACAATTACCACTGGTTGCACGGTGGTTGTTGCATAGAGGCCACTAGCCTAACTCATTTTGGGGATTGACACGCTAAAAAGGGGGTCTTACATTTGATGAGTGTGTAACTGACTCAGTGGCACACTACTTAATATCAAATGTGATTTTGGAGAGAACCTTAGTTAACCTTTTCACCACCAGACTTTTTTTCTGTACTTTTCTTATATTCTTCAATATTTCTGGAAATGAACCCTAATTTTGGAGCCAACAGACAAAATTTGAGTAAGTTTTCAGTTTTTACCAAAACTATTTTTGTCTCAATCTTCTGAAGGTAAATGCAGACTACAAACTATTTTGTGAATTTGTGGTGAAAAGAGGGAACTGGTGGTGAAAAGATTAAGGTTCACAGTTGTTTGAGTTTGAATCCAGGGTAGGGTCGCACATGGCGAGCGCACAACCATGTAGATTCTTCACTGTTTTCATCGTCACTTACTTATTCACAAAATTTGTACATAAAGAAATTTGACTATGAAAATGTTCTGATGCCGCCTTAACCCCATGTTTTTTTGTTTAATTTTACTGTTACATTTTTCTGTACTAAATCCAGCCACTCTGCATTGTGACACCAGAATCAATAACTACACATGTATATTCAAATCTATTACTTCATCATTACATCAATAAGTCTTTATGATGTGATGAAGCGATACATTGCACATGAAATTTCTCCAAACTGATTTTAATTCCAGGTTTTGCTGATTGTGTACTTTATTTTTTTATTTTTTTTAACAGATGTTCAGTCGTCATGACGAGATCGATGGTGATGAAGTCACATTTAAGGTCAGACTGAATAACACAAAACTAGGAATCACTACCTTTTGGACTCTGGATAAGTTTGAAGACAGACTAATCCAAATGAGAGAACTTTACCAGGTATACCAGATTGCTTTAGTATTATTACCAACCATGCTACACAGTATTGAATTGGTAAAACAAAACAAGACATAAAGAAAACGATTTTCAGTTTGCACAAAAATCAATGCTCTTTCAACATTTGTATCTACACTTTGTGTAACCCAAATCAGCAATTCATACAGGTGAAACTAACATCAAAAATTTGTTTTTTTGTTGACAAGGTGAAAACACTATTAATCTAACCCATCATCATGCCAAGTTTTTATTGCCCTAAATGCAGTGGCTTGAGTACATGGATCCATGTGTTGCTTCATGTAATCTCGATAATCTTTTATCAGTCTGCTTTAGTTGCTGGCGTAAAATGTGCCTGCAGCTGTTAAATGTTTATTTTTCAATTGACTTTTTTTTCTTTCAATTTCATTGCAGCAAGGTGGTGGTCCAGATAGCAATTCTGATGATTTGTTTTATGATGCCAGTGATCAATGGGAAAAAGATTATGAAATGGAAAACTCTCCTGCCATACCATCAACAAGGTAAAGTGTAAACTGCTTTTATTTTTGCTGAATGGAATTTAAGGGGTAATTTATAGCAAGGTTCAATGAGAGGTTTTGTGCAGATCATGCGAAGCGGGAAAGCTATAATCTATACTTAACTTCAATTATTCATACAAATTATACAACACGCATGAAATGCGGTATGCGGTGGTTGCAGCACCCAGGAGCCACACGCGTTTATTACAGTGTTTATTTATCCCCCCTTACATATGCAAAAATACACGAAATTGATGCCTAAGCCCCATCGTGAATACATTGACCACCCAGGAAAAACCAGATATAAAAACCCGTCAAGGGAGAAAAACATCTGGAAACCTGTATCTGACGCAATGTCAGATGTACCTCGGGGTGGACGTCGGGAGTCGTCCATATTAAGAATACTATACATTTATAAAAATGAAATAAAAAATACATCTTGAGTTGTTTTCAACCGAGACTGAATACAATAGAATACTCTTCTTACTATATACTCATGAGCACCTGGCTACTTAGCCACTAACCAATCGGAGCAGGTGCAATGGCACCTGAATAACTTACATACGAATAGATAGCAATTATCTGCTAATCTACGAAACGCAGATAATTTCTCAAACTCACATGTGTGACAACCTCCTCAGTGTCAGTCAACATCGGCAAATTCTTGTTTTACTGCTGAATGTTTCAAGCATTAGGTTTGACTGTACCTAGAATTAACAATCTTCCTGAATTTTGTTCTTTTTGCAAAATTTGTATTGACTTAAATTTCAACTGCATGTTTATATCTCTTGTATTTTGATATATTTTTAGTTTTACTAGTCTAAGAACACCTGGATCTGTCAGCAGATTATCTTCCTTTTCAAGTAGAGCATCATCTATCGGCTCAACACCTGCCAGTTTGTCACATTTCTCGCCACGAAGACGAGGTAAGGTCTTGAATTCTGGGATTGTAATGGAATACACTTACAGTGTGTGAGACATTTGTAGTTAAGCCTTCATTTCATGTTTATGATATAATATATCTATTTTCTCTCGGCATCATTCTGACATTTGAACTGCTGCCGTAGATGATCTTAAGTTGCACACTCAGTAAAAACACCATGACTAATAAATAAATAATGTCATCTTCTGTGTTTGTTACACAGTCTAGATATATTTACAATACTATAAAATACTTTATTTTAGCTGGAATTAATTTTCGCTGAAAACACTTTTGGGGTGTTTTGTATGGAATTTATTTTCACTGATTTTTGGAAAATTGAATGTAGAATATAGGAAAAAAGGTATATTCTCTGGATTTTATTTTCACTGAATTACCAGTACTCCTTCAGCAAAAATAGCGAAAATAAAGTATGTTACAGTTATTAGTATGTGTTAATATGTCAGGACTGGAGACAGTCTGCTGGTAATTGACAATATTTTAAAGTATTTAATAAGTTGTTCTAGAGAAATCTCAATAACACAATCTGTGGTTTTCGCTGTAATTAAAATTTATGCATTTCAATTTATTAGTTTTATCAAGCGTTTCCAGCCGAGCCTCTGTTTACAGCAGCAGCAGTAGCAGCAGCCAGTCACCTATACCCATCCACCATCTGTGCAGAAAACTCCTTACAACCTCACTGGAGAGGTTCCACAACACAGTCAGTAAGGAACAAAGTATAGTGGATTCAATCCTCTCGGATATGCACAAACTCAAATCTGCCATTGAGCAGATTAGAATGATGCGAAACAAGGCCAGTGGAGATGATTGCTGTACAGACTGTGGCAATGCAGAAGATCTCGCCAGCAGCGTGATGGAATCAAGTTCCGCAACTGACCTGCTGTTGTCGCATGTTTCGATATGGAGCTCGTACCATGTAGGTTTGGACAGTGGCTTGATACAGGATCTTACCGAGCAGATGGTGGAGACCACTAAAAAGGTGGCAGGGAATGTGGTGAAAATGATACAAGTAAGTTATGCTTGGAAAAATTACTCACTATATATAGGCCAGTGCTAACACCTAGGCATGATGGTGAATTGTGATAATATGGCTCTGTAGTATCAATGAAACGAAGATGACAACCCATATGACGTGACCAGTTTTCTAAAGCATATGCAAAGTTATGCTAGTTACATAAGATATATAAGTACATTAATTGCACAGTTACACTTTTTCAAACGTTCTGTTCTGCTGTGTGAGAGCGTCCTGCAAATGCATCAAAAATCAATGTGACAGCTACATTAATGTATGTGAATTAACTAAATCACAACTTCAGCGTTTAAAAACTGACAAACCTTCATACTTGTTGTATTAGACTGTCTGTTTGTTTCAATAATGCAATCTTCAGCATTTGTCTGCACAATTGTATACTTAATTATTCGCTTCCTCCTATAGGGTTGTGAGAATGATATTGACAGTATGGTATCTGAGTCGTACAAACAGTTGGAACAAACCGTAGACTTTTTAGCTAAAATTATTGGTGAATTAGCCATTGCCACGGAAACAGATATGACTGTGTTGAATACTGATAGTAATAGTAATGAAGAGCAGGTATGTATAGAATTGATTGGTTGCAGCTGACATGTCAACTTATGCATTATTCATGAGTGGTTTGTTATCTAATGAATAATTCATGAGTCACTTGTCTAATTATTCACTCACATCTAGTGCAGAGTACTTGTTTTTAATGCTCACTATTACACTTACCATATTTACTGTATTTGTAACGAATGAACTTTGAAATGATAAAGGTGTGTCTGACCCCATAGTAAGCTGTCTTTCAACCTTTTCACCACCAGTTCCCTCTTTTAACCACAAATTCACAAAATAGTCCAGTTTATAGTCTGCACTTTCCTTCAGAAGAATGGGACAAAAATAGCCATTTTTTTTTTCAGTAAAAACTGAAAATTGACTCAAATTTTGTCTGTTAGCTCCAAAATTAGGTTTTATTTCCAGAAATATTGAAATATATAAGGAAAAAGTACAGAAAAATTAAAGCGAGAAAGTCTGGTAGTGGAAAGATTAATGTTCCTGTATATAATGAATGCATTTACTCACTTGTTCCATCTCTCTTTCTCTGTAATTTTCTCTCACTTTCTTACTTTTTCACTCTTCCAGATATCAGCATCTATTAAACAAGGATTCCTAGATGGTGTAGATGTCTTTATAGACAGGACAGTGCAGGGTACGATCCGCACAGTCAGTCAACAAGAAGCAAAGGTCAATGACTTCCAAGGAATCCATGCCACTGAGGTCAGTTTAAAACAGGTGCCTTATTATTACGACCGTAGATGTTATTTTCGAAGTTTACAAAAGTGTAACATTTTCAGAAAGAATGCCGGAAATATACATTACCATAGAAACAGACTTGATTAGCACATAAAGCAACAAAATCGGTTATTGTTTCGGATAAATTCAGATCGAAGATAGCGTGTCAAAAAAAATGTGTCCTGAGTTCAAATTAGGGGAGTCATCATTTGCGCATGTGGCAAACGGCCATTGCGTAACACGTGTTTACTCATGAGCCTTTGCGTTTTTAGTGTGCGTTGTTATCAATACTTGGGAGTTATTTCATGCACGGGTGACGACCTCTCCACTCTAAATTTGACAGTCATCACTTTGTGTATATTTACAACTTACATGTATGAGTGTTTGCAAAATATAATTAACCACATTCAATGTATAGGTTAGGAACACCAAGGTCACCATCTCTGGGAGAGTGTGGAGTGTTTATGAGTGTGGAGGAAGAATTTAATGAACTCTCACTTTTGTGTTTTCTCTCGAGTTTGCATATAAATTATTTTTTGTTATGATTACGTTAACAAATATTAAATTGCATAAGTTGTCTGCTGTTAACATTTCTGCCTATAACTGCTGATCGTTGTTAATAATCTCCTCTAGATGTGTATAGCTATATCTGTACAGTACCATATACTGTAAAATGATTAATTTTCGCTGGGTTTAAATTTCGCTGATTTTTCATTTCAGGCATATTTAGTGGGTTTTAAATTCACGGTTTTATCATTTAGATAATGTGTTCTATGCTAAATTTTACTTATTCACTGGGTTTTAATTTGCGCATTTTCCAGTCAGCGAAATAAGCAGAATTAAAACCCAGTGAATAATTAACCCTTTTACAGTATGTAAATTGACGGTTAAACAAGTTAGCATAAAAATATCAAACAAACATTTTTAGCTCACATGCACCTCTTTTTAGATGCGATTCTAAATAGAGTATATACAGTATATTCAGTCATGTTCTTGTCTAACTTAGCTCCTTCTATGGTCAACAACATATTAACTTTTTTTTTCACAACTAAAAATAACAGCTTCATAGCATTATATAAAGAGCACATGTCTTTATTATCTCCAACAGTTCTGTAACAGCATGCTTAAAAAACTTCTCATGATAGTATTAATGGTAAGGGTGGAGTTGTCTAAATGTCAGGATGTGCAGGTAGAGCTGGCCAGTACATTCAGTAACATTAGTACAGATAGTGTTAAATCGTCTGCTTACTATGTAAAGCACTATCAGAGAGCACACAGCATTATCACAGAGTCTGGCAATATGGCCGACAGCGTAAACTCTCTGTGTTGCGCTTGTCTTGCCGTCGCTAAAGGTTGGTAAAAAGTTGAGGGTTTACATTTAAAGTGCTTTTTATTCACAGCTACTTATCTTGGTAATGCATGCACGGTTTTTGCACTTTATGTTTGTTTTGCTATAGCATGTGCACGGTTTATGCTGGGATTTTCATGCACAATTTTTATTACTTTTCTTGTGTAAAATTTCCGTTCTGTGTTGTTTTCGTCTTGTAAAAAAAGAAAGTTAGCCTATGTATTGATTCAGTGATAAGCAGTCAAGCACTGAGCAGTTTTGCTATTTGCTATATGAAAGTGTAATTTTGTTGATATTAAGGTAGAAGCCTACTCATAAATGAAAATATCCAGAATTTGTTTTACAATAAATTGTACAACGAAGCTAATAGATATTTAAAAAAGTGTGGATCACCAGCCAAATTTTCAACAGAGTTGTGTTCTTTAGAATTGTTCTAAAAATAGCATGTTTCTCAAAAAACATCACTAACAAATAAAAGAAGACTACTGTGGAATACTTTATTTTCGCTGGAATTAATTTTTGCTGAAAAAGCTTTTTGGACGTTTTGTATGGAATATATTTTCACTGATTATTGATGAGTTTATATAGAAATATAGGAAAAATGTATATTCGCTGGATTTTATTTTCACGGAATCATCCTTTCAGCGAAAATAGCGAAAATAAAGTATTCTACAGTATTTTATTGGGCCACAAAACATGAGCTTCATGATTCATAATAAACGCATGAACATTGTCGTGCGATTTATGATGAATTTTCTCAAGAACTAGGAGTAGGCTTCTATTTTTAAGTAAAAAGTTGCTCAGATGATTTTACTGTGCAACTTGCTGTTGCTGAGGTCACTGAGCAAATTGCTGGTGATAAGAACAGCCAAGACTATCAGTTTCATTGTCAATAGTTCTTATAATCTTATTTGCAGGTCAGAGAGCAGATCCGAGGCAACTGAAACGGTATATTGCTACTGTTACACGGACGTCGTCGAAATTGTGCCAGGCTATGTCTGTAAACGAAATTATAAACAATGTGCCAGAGGATCAATCAGATTCCAGTGATACGTCATCCTCATCGTCTACGACCGAGTTCTATATAACTGAACAGGTGGCAATAGCAACGAGAGAAGTTGATGCAGCAGCCAATTCTCTGGTGGATCTTATTGACTCAGAACTTGGAAAATTGTTTCCACCTGTGAAAGGAGCAAAGCGCTTGCTTCCCGCATCGCCGGAGGTCTCGCATCTGAATCGGATACGTAAACGGCTCAACATTATAGATTACCTAGAACATAACAATATTTAATGGAGTAACTCAAGACTGCCATACAAATGTAGTGTGATTTTATTGTATTATAATATTTGCATTTACCACTTTTTTGGCGCAGAAAGCCAGTTTGATCTTGTTCAAACCAGATTAAACTGGAATAGAATGCATGCTTTTATCACCACTGAAGTGAAAATATTTACAGAACCATTGCCATTTTCAGACTTTTATCTTCAAATCTTTTATCTTGCATTGTTAAGTAAATTAACATATTTATTTATTGCACATTGAAATATAATAACTCTTTAAATATACATCTACTAATAAATTTAAAATTACGTTAGTGAAGTCAATTTTTTTTTTCTTAGGCAGACTTGAACTCAGTTTAATCACATGCTAAAAACTATTGTTCACCTGCCTGTGCATGTTGCCTGGTTCAAGAAAGCATTATTATATGGGGTTTGCAATGTACAATTTTTGCTGCTATAACCATGGGTTTACTTGAAAGAAACAAAAATCACCAATTTCCCTAACAAGTTGTTTATTACTTTCTGCTTTGTTGATTATTGCATACAGTCTTATAATGTTAAAACTGAAGTGAAAATAGAATACAGCTCTCGAACACTACCATGTATCCATGGCAACCATGGAGTACTTTTGCATTTTTCAACACATGGATTTGAAAGATTTTTTTCATTCCATTTCCAGATCATTCAGTTTTTCTATCATAATGCAATTTTATTCATATGGAAACTTTTAGTTCTTCGTATAATACTGCCATATGTACTTTAAAATCTGAATGTATTTATATATATATAGCATTATTTTTGTAAGCTAAATAATAACGGTAAGCAGAGAACTACTGTAAAACATGTTGAAAAAGCGGCATGCAATTTTAGCGAATTGTGGTAAAACAACGTAATAGCAAAATGTTGATTTAGCGAATCTCTCGTCATTGTTGATTTCTTTGTTTAGCGGCCATTTTAAATTGACAATAAAGTCATTAAAGTCATCTTGAATTAGCGAATCAGTTCTCTCGCTAAATTCGCGAAAAAACATGTTTTACAGTATTTCGTCAGCTCAGATTAATAGTGCCTAGAATTTTTAATTACCCAATGTTTCAACTCAACTGGGGTTAAAGGTTACATCCTCATTTATACAAATGAGATTAAAAACATAGCAGCGGCTGTTTCTAGGATTAAAACATACTCCATGCATCCTTCATATTGATCTTTCATATCTCTACTTTATTTTTTAAATACTAATTATGTGCTTTTAATGATACCTTTAATGCAACGGTTGTCATAGAAACCATTGCTTCTGTTGTACTTTGCTATAAATTTCTATTTACCAGAAAGCATTTACAAATACAAATGTATCTATATTTGCGATAAACTAATTGATTGAATATCTGCTCTGTGTTATTATGTGTAGTGTTGGTAATAATTTATCGGTATACAGTCATTGCAGAAACTTTGTCAGGATTGCAGGAAGTCTGGTAATTCATAGAATATATAAAACAACAAATATGATAATGATTAGTGTGTTATTGCTAATTCTTTACAAATAAAAAAACGTGCAAATAAACATGACAAGTTGTAACAGATTTGAAAACAATCCGGACAGAGTTACTGCTATAACAAATCATGGATGCTGACTGTTATGAGGTTGGCTGGCACTTGTTTAGTCTGCTACTTGGCAGGTGTATTTTTCACTTCCACACGCAATAAAGACTGGGTTTTTACAGTCCTGAATATCTAGGAAAATCCTGGAATTTGAAAGGTATTCTGGAAAATTGCCTTTAGTTCTTGGAAAATGAGAAATCTGCATCAAAAGCCATTGAAATCATTAAAAAAAGTGATCTATTTGAATCAACATTACTAAATGTAAAGGCATTTGGTCATTTTCACCATTAACAGTAATTTTCCAAAAAATACAACTCTTGACTCTTTATATAAAAGAACCATTATGATCTCAGGGTGCATTCCATTATGTATCAATGATGGACTCCACCAGTGTTTACGTGGATGTGTCTTAGTTTTTATGTGTAAAATGTAAATACTGAAACACATCTATTTGGGGAGAGGAGTGAGGTATTGAATATTTATAGAAAGAAATTGTTTATACCACTCTAAAATATCAAATATTTAAATTCTTGTGTCTTAATTTGATGTACTCTTTGACTGCTTCCATCTTTGAATTAACATGCCCACCCCATGACATAATGGTTTCATCCACATTTATGTTTAATGAATGCAATTTTGTAGATATTAAATGATTGTATAAACACTTTTTAAAACTTGTTCGTTTCTTCTCTTAAACTACTTCCCTTCTGAATCACCCCTAGGCTGGCCCAGTCATGGGAAATTTATTATTTTGTTTTATTTGATATTTCTTTAAAAAATGAGTTTGTAGAATCTCTTGCGTCTCACCGCAATTTAAGAGAGAAAAAAATTAAATTGCCACAGCTGTGCCAATGTAAATCACCCCTGACAAAACCTTTGTGTATTTTGAATAATCTTTTAATTTATCAAATACTACTTTTAATAATAATCACGAGTAATTTTCGAATAACTATGAAAATGAACAAAAATACCATCTTGAATATGAGGTATCACAAAATGTGTGTCAAAGGTCAATTACTAACACAGACATTACGATTTGACATGGTAACGCAAATCATAGTTGAGTTGCAATACAACACGGAAGAGTCATTTGTTAGAAATTTAGGTTTCAAAGTAAACGTGATCTACTGTTAAGGTAGAGATGCAGTTTATTTGTGAATTTCAATCAAAAATATTTGTTTTCGTTTTTTATATAGATTTTTATCTAAAGAAAATTCTGTGAAAATTTGACCAATGCATTCTTATTGGAACACCGTTAAAATTGCTGTTTATTTTCTGGTTAAAAATAAAAAAACACTCACACGTGGCAATGTTTATGTCCAATTGCCTAATTTGCATGAGTAATCAAATAACAGGACCTTTGATTGACAATATGCAAATCGAGATTGTACGGGTCATAGTTCATTCAATTCACGCGCATGTGCAATTATTCTCAAATCAGTTATCGCTCGCTTGCAAACCAAACATTATATTTCCTCGGCGTTTTTTCCTAGTTTTTATCATTACATTCAGCGTGGTGTGAAAAGAAAGAGAGGTAGAAAGAAGATTCAGATGATTTCTATGTCGGAAGAGGCAAAAGCTACACTGAAGGCATCAGCCCACCGAACGAAAAACAAAATCGATGTGAGCGTTCAAACGTGACTTTCCCCGAAGGCGTGAATCCGAGTTTCTGATTGACTGAAAGATTTTATTTTTAAATAATTATTCTCAGAAAATAAACTGAGCATGTGAAGAATAATTTAACATTGTTTACAGTGATAACTGCTCATTGTCGAAACGAAGCTAACCCATTCACGTCAGAAGTTAAGCTGTGACTTCTATTAAAATGTTACAATGCGGCTTCTATAAGAGCATCTATACATGAGAAACTATGAATTTTTGGTTCTCAATTGTTCAAAAAAAATGGGTGCGACTTCTATTTGGGATGCGGCTTCTAATACAGATTTTACATAATAAACCAATGAATGTCATACGAATTGTAACCAATTTTCTCAAAAGTTATGATATTCTTCGTCTACTGCGTTGTCGGTGACGTACTGTTGAATGCTACGGCACATTATTTTGATATCTCAGAATTTGTTTCAATTTCTGGAAGCATTTCCTTTTATCCCGATACATGTTTTTCCCTCACTGTCATCACGACAGTTAGTGTTCAATTCGTACTTTCTAAAGCTGCTACTCATTTGATGGACTGATTTATAACGTATATTACACATTTTTATGACATCTCTCTACTTTCTGACAACCATGATCTCAATCAACTTACAGATATATAGTAAGAAATAGGAATTAACATTAGTGCAGTTTCACTAAAAACGTTTTTTGTTTTTGTTTTTTTCTCAATACACATTATTTATGCAAATAGTGGTATGCTTCTGTTTCTGCTAATAATCATGTGAATCCTCGCCTGGACTTTTCAAGTACTCTTATAAAGTGGTAACACTATAATAATTCTGCCGTGGTTGTAACGAGTTATTAGTAAAATAACCGATTATATACTATTTATATTATTGCATTACGATTTTTACTGAGAACAAGTTACGGCAACATGGATGGCATGTTATAAAACATACGCAAAACCCCTGGCGCATAACGTGTGGCCAATAAATCTGAAATGATGGCCGAAACTTCCGTGCACCCCTGTGGAGAGTCGGTGTCCTACTTCCACAATGACGATGAAAACATATTTTGCAGCATTGATTCCAGACGTAAACAAATACCTTGGAAGACACTATATATAATTGTGTGTACCCAATGTCACCGACCTTAATTTTGAGACATCCTTGTTATAGGAAATAATGGTACAATGTCCTCACGTACACATAACTATTTTTCCGTGACCCCATATTTTCATTTCATTTTCAGGGTTTCTGCACTTTGTTTACCTGTTGAGACGATGGTTGCACACAAATCGTACAGATAGAAAATGTACTTGATGCAATTTAACTAAATTGAGGACAAATGTTATTTCGTCTTGGAATGTCCTTTCTATAACCAATTGGTAACAAATTATTTGTCTTACTGTTATCATGGCAGTCACAACACATCTTTCGTGAAATGTATAATCTCGTTTCAATGTTATAATTCGTACTGTTATTTTACCTGTCGAAATTGATATTCCCTCATGCATAAACATGTTGGTGTAAGCTCCAAATCAAGTGATAGTGACTTCGATGTTGTATGTTTTGAAAGGTGTTTCGCTAACAACGTCCTGTCTTGTTCATTCATTGCTATAGTAATGTATACGTATGGGCCGCTCACCTACTGTATGAAAACAAATGTACTATAATTATATTCAAGTAGTGGTCTAATAAAAGATTCGTATAGATTCAAAATAAGTCATGGTGATTTATTTTGTGCCTATTTCGGGGTTTACTTTTGCAACAACTTTGTTTACATGTTCATTCCAGGTAGGCATATATAGTCAATAGTAACTCAAAGATCTTTATGTTTATTAAAGGGCGGTAGTCGTCGCGCTGCGCATGTGCGACATTTAACCCTTTTTTTAACATTGAAATAGCCACCGTCCCATTCGGCCTGTCAGTATGTGTGTTATCGTGTACTTGCATATCTTCACAAAGTTTGCCGGGATTCAATTTCCATAACCATGTCGTGGACCATTCAATTATACAATGTGCAACTTGTTAACTATTAGTTCAGGAAAACACATTGGTTTAAAAAGACAGTTAGTAGATAAATGCAAAAGAAATTCGGCTTGGTGACACTTCAATTTTTAACTTACTCCAATATTCTATTATATCTCTCGATAAATTCATGTTGATGACAATTACTATACTATATTATTATTACTTTTTTATATGAACTGAGATTGATTCTAATGAAACATCCAGCTATTATGTTGACAACCTTAGTAAGAGATCCAGACTGTAAACCATTTACTGTATAACCCCCCCCCCCCTGGGTATCTTGTCGATGTATCGTTTTCTAAGAATTGTCTTGTACTATAGTATCTTCAAGTGATAAATGAGCTATGTTGAAGAGTCCATGTTTTTAAAACTCGTGAATGAAATTTATCCGACCTATACGTATATTAGGAGTAACTAAGAGCAAACTCTTATGGACTGCATTTGGCGAGATGATTGTAGAAATACTGGTACAACAAACATCACAATTGCGTGAAATTAGTCAGATCTAAACGTGTCCCAGTGTCAGCGATAGGCTTTGTAAATGGTTATGTATTGATTAGTTGAGTAGACAATTATAATAAACTAATACATTGTAGCAAACATAACGCCCAACCGTCCACTGCACGTAATATAAATAGGTGACAGTAGATGTTGCGTTAACGACGCACATTTGTGTTAGGCGAGTTTATAGGGGCATAGTTCTTCTGTGGCGATAAAAATCCTAATGTCTGAAAATAACAGATTTGATGACACCAACTAAAAAACCACCACAAAGACTAAACGCCGACACAAAAAGAGCAACGGACCCACAGCTAAATAAAACTGTTACACTCGTTAAAACACGGAGGATGTGGTGTTTTGTACAGTTTCTGAGCTAAACGAACAGATATCCTGTTGCACTGAAGAATGATCTAGTGTCAGCTGGCGTAATTTGCTCAACGGCAGAGTATATAGAATACTGAAAATTTTGGAAGCTGATTAAAGACAACGGTGGTCGCTCCAAACACCTTTATTTTGTTAAAACAAAATTTCCCAGACTATTTCACACGCACAAATGCTTTTCACAACAATGATGACTGTACACGCTCAACGCGTGTTCAGAGAAACTTCGATTTCCTGAACTCCAGTAGGTTCCAGACTGGGTTGCCAGACCGGGTGCCAGGCAGCTCCAGCTTATTACAGGATTTAGTTATCGGTATATTTCGAAAATTGTCGAACCGTTACCATCCAAATCTTGTTTTTATATGGACGTGTCGTGTCACATTCCGGGTTTGTTCGACACAAATGAGATCACAGTTACCACTCCTTTGAGTAAAATGGTTTGTCTCATTAACCTCCGCATTTTCGTCGCTGATTGTTTTTAAAATGTAGCCAGTTTGTTGTTACAGTTATACCGGCCGACAAGCAATCGACGGCACCTGTCGACGACGGTGTCTGGCAAGACTAACGCACAATCAATCAAACGGACCGACCGTTCCAAACCAATTTCACGCAATTATGCCGTTCGTTGTATAATCTTTTCATCTCACGCCCAGAGCGAAATTTCGATATGAAATAATTTTACCATCGAATGGTTATCCCAATTGCAGAAATATGCGTCAAGTCTGTTATTATCACCAGAGTTAAAGTTTGTGCGTCATTCGTCAGGTCTCAGACTACTAATATTACTAGTCTGAGGTCAAGTGTACATTAAAAATAATGAAACACAATTTGGTTATAGTCGCCGGTGCGGAAGGGCTCTGTTACATGAATCTTATCCCCTGGCGGTCACTAGTAGAAACCAACTAACGGGTATGCGAAACATAAATTAAGTATTAAAATAGACAAGGTCAAAGCTGGTTGATATACTAGTAATGCATGGAATATGTGATTAGTGGCAATGATTCGCTGATGATTGGACCATTTTACCGTGATTTCTGTTGCTGCAAAAATATTTAAATAAAAATCAGAATAACTGCTATAAGTTACGATGTAAAAATGTCATGGATATTGATAAATTGTGTGCATTGCAATTTCTGTTTATCATATTCAATGATATATCTGATTCAAGATGGCAGTTATATTTTACTTGATTTAGGAATACTGAGAATTGTAATTTGACATCATTCAACTTCATGGTATAAATATGACTTATGTGAAGGCACCAAATTTCATTTCATTTTTAATTTCATCAATTGTTGACTGTCTACACAATTCCATACTTTCCCCAAGTAGACAAGAAACAAAAACGTTTAATATATTCACACAAGGCAAAAAATGCTCAATGGTCTCAGTTTCCAAGGTACACGTGACTGTCACCAATCTCCATTCCCTTCCGTTTTAGATCGTAGCTGGTGTACAAAATACAATGGAACAGCTTGAACTGACAGTTTTACTGCCTATATCCACATTGAATGGAAGACGCTTTCACAACACCCTTCGCTAATTGCTCTTCTTAGGTTACAAAGTCAAGTTGAATGATTGTTTCAGTAATTTGTTGGTAATTTTGGCTGGCTTGATGTAGTTACAGTCAAAATGCCAAGCCTTCAAATCTGATTGCTCTTCAGATTCACTGCATTCCAGTTTATGATATGACCGTGGTAAGCTCTTTATGACTATAAAGTTTTAACATATCAACCTGATCAAGATTTTGTCGTTGGAGATCTTTATTTTCACATTTGTGAAATGTGTTTTTCTTTTCTTTTGTAACCTTTACTAGCACTTCTTGTACTTATTATTTTTGTAACATTCTTTGTAAATAAGGCCGGAGGCCAAAGTACTGAATAAATTATTATTATTATTATTTATTATTAAAAAGAGTTACAAAAGAAAAGAAAAACACATTTTTTAAATACTATCTCGTATAGTATATGCCTGTGTAAATGCTATGTTTCTCTGTAAATGTTTGTTAATTGTTTTCATTAAGTTATTAAATTTATTTGAATATGGGTAAGTATAATAATAAGCTGGTAAGTATGTTTTCCCTATGTCAGAATAAAGTGGACAGCATAACAGGAAATAAAACTCGTCTTCAACGATTTCACGAAAATTACAGTAGCGTTCATTTCTAGAAACGTTTTGTCTCCTGCCTGTCTCATTGTGTAACATTGTTTATAAACATAGTTATAACAATTTGTGAATACGAATCAATCAGTTTTCATTCAAATACAAATATTCAATCATGATTGACTCGAGAGTTCCACATTGTCTGCGTCTATAATGCGCACGCAGTCCTTCAAGTGACTCATCAGCTGCGATTGCCTGCCCATTTATTCAAAATGAAGAGCTTGCTGATTGGAGGATGTTGAACTAACTTATAATTATTAATTATAACTCGTTTCTCGATTGGTCAATTCGAATTCTACCAGCCAGTTTGATTTATAAAAAGAAAATTATATTTAGAACCCCCTAGTTTTATGCCTTTCATCATTGTATTATGTGTTGTCCGTATTTCTTAATTCTAACATTTGATTTAAAAAGTTGTTATTAACTTTCGTGACAATGTACTTTGTTTACAAGCATGAGGGCGCTAATGGTAAAAGTGAACAACTGTGAAATTTTGTTTTAGTATTTTTTTTTAAATTGGCCAAATATTATTTAACAATTATATTTTTGGATTTTTATCAATTTGTATCTCTCTAAAAAAATAAAACATATTTAAAAAATAATTCAGGATACCATCAGTAATACCGTCAATTACAATGTATATATTTTTTACCCTATGTGTCACCAGTCAACTGATAATTTGAGAAAATGGCATAATATATCCACCTAAGTATTGCGTAATGTTTTCGTGAATATCGGCCATTTTAAGTTTAGGGTAAAAGAACGTCGTTGCCTATCCTTCTCCTCTGGGGTATATTGAATCATGTGGAAACTGTTTAGTTTAAAAGAAATCTACCACCCACCGATTACGTAACAACATTACAAACTAACATAGAACTAAAACCAAAACTAAAACTTCTACAAACATTTTGAAAGACTAGATGCTACTGATGTAGCTTCGTTTTCGGCCTCCATTAGATGTAACTATTTCTTAGTTGTTGCTTTTGAAAAATTTCGGTAACAATTATGTGTCTTGTAACAATACATATTATCTTGCATGGTAGTTATAAGTATGGTTTCTGAGCAATTAAATACAAATGAAAAGCAATATATGAAACAAAACTTTTATTTCACAAACCACAGTACAATGATGGATATCATGTGGTACTATTGTTTAGAATACATTTAGTCATTCCATGGAGGTCATTCCATCATCTGATCAACATATACCAGCATTTGTTTGTTTCCGGCATATGTATCCCTTTTTGCGACTGATTCATTCGTCCACGGCCACTCAACTTATTTTTTGACCGTGATTCGTCGTCGCGTGACCCAATTTTGAGAATACCCACAATTCTCACATACGTCGAGTATTCAAAATGGCGACCGATATTGGCGGTGTTGTGAATGAGATCGGGGTCCATATAGGCGATGTGGCGCAACTTGTACCGGATATTGTTCAGTATAATCAACTAACTGCGGTAAGAGTTATTTTTTCTGGCCAAGTTATATATTTTGACCCACACATTTCTGTTCTTTATCCATGTTTTCGAACTTTCGCTCCATGTGATCCGGTGCGCACGCACATCGTTCGCACAGTTTGTTTTGATCGGTCAACACGTCCGTTTGTTTCCTCGTTTTTACGTGTCTTGATTAAATTATGTTGATATGTTCTTTGGTTTTGGTTGATGTCTTTCTGTCATTACATAGCGTGTGTTGATACTGTGACATTTGCGGCTCTTTTCTGTTCGATTCAAAACACTAGCCGATGTGATTGACGTGAGTGACTGTTATGTTACGGAGCCGGATTTTGATTCATACACACACTGTGTCGCTTTGACCTCGTTCACAAGGCATATGCCCAGAGCACGTACGTTTTTGGTTTGAAGGTGTGACATCTTATGAAACCCCACGCAGCGTATTCATCGAGGATATGTGAGGTCTCAATATTTCGTTTTCGGGTTGTCGAGCATTTTTATGCTGACTTAATCATTGACGCGTCGGGAGTACAGCCCATCACTGAATCAGATGCATAAGACCCATGACAGATTATTTTGGCCAGCTGCTGTTGTTGTTCTGTCATTGACAGTGTTTGACAGGCAGATCATAATGGTAAGACCCATAGCATCGATATATTGAAATTTAAATATAAATCTGGGTTTTTATTATTTTTTGTGGGGGGTGCAGGTTTTTTTTCTAGAAAAAAAACTGCAAGAGGGATCTCTGCAATTCAGCGACGCCACCAAGTGGGAGATAGGGTTCTCCCTACCAGGATGTGGAGTTTTTGATAATTTGATAAGTTAAAATGTAGAATTCTATATTTTCCTTGGGGCCAAAAGTACTATCAGACAGACCACAGTTGAAGACTGTGGCCACATGTGATCCCTGGTCAATCAAACTTTTATGGTTACCAGAGGATCTGCTCCCCAGGGTAAGGGGGCACATGGGCATGGCATGAGGGCGCTGCGCTCCTGTTCCCTTGTTTAAAAAAATCCCTGGGGTGCTACTGTCTCTGTTTGGAGGGGAGGAAGCATATTCTTAAAGACAGAATTATGTTATGATCCCCTAAACATTGTCAGGACCAATCACAAACAGACGATAGTTCCCTGTGTTTTTTTTCCCTGCAAATTTTACTTGACTAATATTAAATTTAGTTTCAATCTTTGTATACGTTCACCCTTAACCACATGCTGACTCTGCAGTTGTGTATTGGGGAGAGTGTTCATAGGTGTCAGTGTTCTTCTTTCGACAGGGTAACAGGGAAACATTGCTCCTTGAAATTGTTGAGTGCCTTGTTGTTGTTGTTTTTCAATTACCGGTACAATAAAAGTGTGCCACAATGATACAGAAACTGTAAAATCATCCATATCATAAAATTGATTTCATGCTGATCGCCCTCTTGCTAACAAAACCACAGAACACCTTGTGTGATATAGTAGCTCATAGCTACTGGGGTACTTTCTTTTCAAAACAATAATGGCTACATGTAGTGACATGTTTAGTTTGTGTTTGTTTCAAATGTCAATTGTGTCAAGTGTTTGATATTTCTGCGCATGGGTATGTCATGTTATTGGGATACTATTTTGGTATGTAAAAGGAATTGTTTTTATTTCCAATTCTTTTAGAATATTTGACACAAAATGATGTACCTTATTTGTTTTTGTTCTATTTGTAGCTCAGTTATTTCCCAAAAAAATTATCTAATTGCGGCTAATTTTCATATTAATTGGCATACTATTTAACATAATGTGCAGTTATATTTTTTGACAGATATACAGCAACACTCTTAGTTATTTAAAATTTTAATATTAATTGGTAACAGTTTATACAATTTATATTTTTGAGAAAAAAAATAAGTACTAATAAATTATCATTAAAAATTGGGCTTAAACTCCTATCCTAGACTGTCGACAGTTCTTGGGCCTAATAAAGAGTCACATATTTTCAAACGCTGTAGGCGTTATAACGAAATGCTGAAGGAATTTTCAAGTGAGGGCCGTAATGTCCGAACCTTTGCACTGTTAGCGTGTGTTGTTATCATCGATTGGGACTCAACTCCTGCATGTGCGCAGGTGATGATCCTCCTGCTTTAATCTCATAATACCTTGGATTAAGAATACTATTTTTATTGATGTCTATTTGAACTAAGTGGAAATAGAGGAATGCGACAACTGTGTCACAATAAAGTCTAAAAGGGGCATAACTATTAATAATTTCGCTCTCTTTGATTTCAGACCATATTATTATCTGTCGCTGTCATCGCCAGTATAGCATGTATTGTTTTATTTATATTCCTACATAAAATTAAAAGACAAGGTGAGTTTTTTTAAGTAATATATTTACCTTCCAAGGCCTGAATATTGATTCACTGTTAAGATTTTGCCTAATTGGCTATTCAACCCTAACAACTAACATAGAGATCAATCGGAGAGCACATTGTTTATTGACATGTTTTTTTTTCGGTTTATCAAATTCTGCCTTGTATATATGTTATGACTCAACTGTGAATAATTGGTGTTCAGACACTCCCAATTTCAAGGCCAGTGTTGATATTGTGAAAGAAGGCACTTTCTTAATCAACATTATCTGTTTTTCTTGCAACAAAACCAGAGTATCTCAAATTGGTCTATTTTCCCATATGTTAAACTAATAAAAAATATAATAATTTTTGGACACTACATTATGTCGTTACTATACATTAACAGTGGGAGTGCACATGCACATGCGTCAGATGGTCATAGTGTATCATTGTTTACAAACCAGGGTCTACCCATGAGCCTTTGCGTTTTCGACTCCCATATGAAGCACATAATGGGAGTCTTTGCAGTTAGTGTGTCGTGTGTGTGTGTGTGTATGTGTGTTCGTGTGTCCGACTGTTCCACTGCTATCTCAAGAACCATACATCGGTTTTTGATGAACCTTGGTGCATAGATGCTCTGGGCCAATGCACAGATTTGATTAGGTTTTGGTAAAAATCCATGCTCGTTAATTACCTAATTTTTAGCGGTTCCATGACTGTTCCACTGATATCTAAACAACCACTCATTGGATTTTGATGAAACTTTGTACATAGATGCTCTGAACTGATGCTAGGTTTTGATTAGTTTTTGGTAATAATCCGTGGATACTAATTACCTAATTTGCATAATGATTAGTCAATTTTCGTTTTTTCCACTGATATCTCAAGTACTAATCATCACATTTCAATGAAACTTGGTACATAGATGTCATATGATACTGCACAGACCTGATAGTTTTTATGGTAATATCAGTACATATTAATTTCCTAATTTGCATAATTAATTAATTTTCAGCATTTGATATAAGTAGTGAGCATTACATTTCAATAAAACTTGGTACTTACATACTCAAGGACTATGCAGAGATTGATTGTTTCCGATAAATATTTGTGCATATTAATCACCTAATTTGCATAATTAATTTGAAGCTTTTGCACAGGTATCTCAAGTACTAATCATCGCATTTCAATGAAACTTGGTACATAGATCCTTTAGGACTATGCAGAGACCTGATTGGTTTTAGGGTAAATAATTGTGCATGTTAATTACCTAATTTGCATAATTAATTTTCAGCTTTTCTACTGATATCTAAAAGTACTAATCATCACATTTCAATGAATCTAGAATTATGCCAATAATTAGACCCAATTAGTTTTCGGTAAATATTTGTGCATATATTAATCACCTAAAATGCATAATTAACCAATTTCCAACTTTCACACTGATATCTCAGGTACTAAACATCACATATCAATGAATGTTTGTACATGGATGCTGTAGGACAATAGACAGACCTGGATAATTGTGGGTAAAAATCTGTACATATTAATTACCTAATTTGCATAATTAACCAGTTTTAAGCTTTCACACTGATATCTAAAGTACTAATTATTCCATTTCAATGAAACTTAGTACAAAGATGCTCTAGGACAATGTACAAACCTATTGTAATTAGTTTGGGGTAAAAATCTGTTCATATTAATTCCCTAATAAGCATGATAATTCATAAATTTTTGGTTCTAATCACATTTCAATTAAACTTGGAAACATAGATTTTCTGTTACATTGCGCAGACCTCATTAGTTTTACACTCAAATCTGTTCATATTAATTTTCTGATTTGCATAATTAGTTTTCAGCTAAGTAATTTCGAATTAAATTTAATGTGTCTCCAATACTCTCAGCATATGGGAGTTCTTTCTAAGCTTTCTTTGATTAGCATGTGTTGTTATGATGGCTTGGGACTCGATTCCCACGCATGCGCAGGTGACGACCCTCTCGCTTTAACTTATGAGTAACTGTGATATCCACGGTGTACTATTATTTTAGCTGCTACATTATTTAGTGGCATTACAATCCATACCACAAGATATCTAATTACATCAGTGTTGGTCACTGTGTAGTAACTTTGTAGCAATTATTATCGATGTTGATAATTAGAATAATGTTCTGACTTGCGATATCTTACTAGTTTTCGACAAAGAACCAATGCTAAAAGTGGAGTCAGCCAGATATTGTGTTGTTTCCATGCCAACCTTCTCAGATAATTCCATTCCCTAATATGGATATTCTAATTATGTGCAAATTGTTTGCAAAATAAATATAGAAGATATTTTTTAGACAGTAACTCTGAAAAGCTAATTGTTTGATGTTGGAGAGTAATCCCCACATTAGGTGTTTGCATATTCCACAACAATAATGAGTACATGTCCTTAGGTATACACACTGCTCTTTGCAGCTATCACAAGTCTTAGCCACTAGTTTGTTGATGTAGAACTACATATACATGTACATGTACTTTAAAAGGTCATTCACGGGTAACATATAAATGATATATAAACTATACAATTGTAAATATTGATATAGTTTTTGACACTCAAAAAAAAACAAAAAAACACTACATGTCACCTCGGGCATTAGCCGCAACTAACCTCCAAGTATTATTAATATTATTACATTTGTGCTTGTTTTTTCAGTTATGGGACAGACTCCAGGTCCTGGCCAAACAAAGCCACGTTTTAGGAAAAGAGATAAAGTTATCTTCTATGGAAGGCGAATGTTGAGAAAGGTAACTAAGTGACTGATATTTCATGTATTAATTTACTGTTTTGTCTTACATGCTTCAATCAAGTCTTTGCAAATAGAAATTTTCAATATTTGATAAATGTATGTCATTTGACATTTTCTTGGACCTTGCAATTTATAGTATTTCCTGTTAGGTTTGTGTATGTGGCACATCCCAACTCTATTTTTTCATCTGTGCATTTGCATCCATTACTCGCCTTCCTTTTGAATTTATCAGGTCAGGTAAACTTCCAAAGCAGAATATTCATAATTATGACAGGGTTTTAGGTTTTCTCTGGATAAGTAATGATTTAATATACATAATTTCTTGATAAATATTTTTAAACATACCTGGACATTTTTTTTGCAGCCATGATTTGTGAAAGGTGACACAAGTCGACTATTGTGTAAAAAAAATTAATTAAATTTTTGTCACCACATAAGGTAGTCATTTTGACCTGACTTTGTACAGTCATAAAATGATGGAATAAAAGAATATATAATTGTTCTGTAAATCGGTGTTAATGTTTCCAATCACAATGCAAATATGTCTATCAGTTTGTAATTGTTTGATCCGAAAACTAAAACTTCATTAGATTTTTTTGTTAAAATAAACGGCTACTAATTTGGATTAATGATATATGTACGTCCATTTCTTACGTGTGAATATATCAGAATGTATGTTATTAATTTGATGCGGCAATGTAATTTTTTGTACATTTTAGCATGCAAATAAATGTTTTTCTACGTTCTTCCAATATTAGTTGTGTTTTGGATGCATGTTTTTGTGTTAATGTAGCGTAACGTTAAACAGGTACATTTCCCATTGCTAATGTGTCAATACTTTCACCAAAATGGAGTCAACACAACCTTTATATGACATCTGATAATGTGATATGTACCCACATATACATACACAGAGCTATTATGGTCTAATTATCTGACTAACCTCAATACCTAAGGTTGATAAAACTACCCAATAAATAAATAAATAAATAAATACTGTGAAAAATCAATGAAAACACAGACTTTATGTTATTAATCTGTGAATGGTTGGTCTGAGAAATAAATTTATTGACAAGCATTTCTTTGACAGGTGAAGTCCATCTCAGGGCCTATCACCAGCACTAGAACAAAACTAATGAAAAGGAAGAGGTTAATTGGGGATCTGAAGAGGTAAGACACTATTGTCATGGAAAGTACATTTAGCTTCAATTAATATTAGCTGTAGTTTGTTATGAGTCATTAGAGTTGAATTGTTTTACTGCATTAGTAATGCATCTATAGAGTGAAAGTGCACCAACCTCACAATAGGTAATTTTCCGTTCAACTGCGAGAGTTGAACTGATGAGTTGCATGTGCCAAACGATTTGATTTTGAACTCGAATTTCTTTATTTCATAACTAACAACTAAAGGCAGATCTTTGACAGCGAAAGATTGCGTTTGAATAACCTTACTTCATCGAAATTAACAATCATCAAATGTGTACAGCAAATTATTAAGCATGGTATTATCCCCCGAAATACTTTCGTTTTTGTTGAATCCCACGTAGTGTTTGTCGCCACTATGACCTTTGTTTGTCTTGTTTTTCATCTGCTTTTATGCATTACGCAGGATCTCGCAGTGAACAGAAAATAGTCTATTGCATCTGTTTTTAGTCCATGATCAAGATGTTATCTTTCATAATTTTTGTGGATTTAAAATTCTTTCTAGTTAGTAGTAGTTGTTTATCATTTTGCTGTTTTCAGTAGGATTCATTGCTGTTTTTGCTATATCAGCGGGTTAACAGCAGTGGCTGCTTGCAGCCAGAATTAGTAATTGGTTGTCAGTCAATGTAGCTGATTCTTTGTGGTAGTAGATAGACATTATATTTGTAGCTGATCAGCTATGACTGCTTGTTATCAGTAGTTGTAGCTGATTAATGATAGTGATAGCTAGTCAACAGTAGCACTAGTTGGTTATCAGTAGTTGTAGCTGATTATTGATAGTAATAGCTGATTATCTGTAGTTATAGCTGGTTATCATTTGTTGTAGGGGATCATCAATAGTGACAGCTGGATATGAGTAGTTATTCTGATCAATTAATTTGTATAATTGTAATTAGTCCCCGTTTGAACGAAGTCCGAAAACGGGGACTTTAATATAATTTGGTCTTTGTCTGTGCGTCTGTCCGGAGTCATATTTCAGAATCCTTTGGACCAATTCCGTTCATTCTTTGCATGTGCCTAGTACTTTATGATGGACATATGCACATGCAGTGGTTTAGCAATTCGATTCAAAATGGCCGACTGGCAGCCATCTTGTTTTTTAAAAATGTCCTATTTTGGACATGCTTTGTCAGTTTTTATTCAAATTTGGTACATAGATTATACATGTTAGGATACATATCCATGACAATTTCTTTCGTAATTTTTTTTTTTTTTTTAATCTTGGACATGCTTTCTTTTGGCACATACCTTATTACATGTTAGGATACATGTCCATGTCAATTTGTTTCAATTTGATTGACAGCCATCTGAATTTTTGGCCTTACTACTATATTTCCAAGATTTATGTACCATTTTAATTCGTATTTGGCACATACATCATACATGCCCGAATGATGGCTGTTTTTATTTTTGGCCATATTACTATATATCTGTCACCCATGTATCATTTTCATTGATATTTAGTATGTCATAAATGGATACATGTACATGTCAATTCAATTTGCAATTTGATCAAATATGGCTGACTGGCGGCCATCTTGCTTGTTTAAAATGTGATAACTTGGACATGCTTTCACTTGTGATCTATGTTTTTCTTTGCTATGTCTTAAACCGCAAATAAACAATCTGTTGTATATGGCAAGCACAAAGAGAACTTTCAAAAATTTAATGGTGACTGTTATTTTCAATGACTTGTTGATTAATGGTTTTATGTGAGCGAGCAATCAATATTTTCAATAATCAATCAATAATCACCAAGTGTGTACCATGCATTAATTAATCTGTTTGAATTCTATGTTCTAGGTTACTGAGTAGGACAAAGGAGTCAGGTCCAGTGCTGCAGGAGAAAGAACCCCCGCCAGCAGTATTAGAAGCAGATTGGAGAGAAATTCAACAATCAGAACTTACTATACCACCAGAAGTTATTTATATGTTAAAAAGTGTCAGGTTAGTTATTGCTGTATACAATTTTTTTTTGTACATATATATCTTCAGAAAATATATTCTGATGTAAAATAAAGTTGAAATGTAATTTATGTTTGTTTTCAGAGTGTTCGGCCATTTTGAAAAGCCACTTTTTTTAGAATTGTGCAGACATATGGAGACTAAGTTCATCATGGCCGGGTCTTATCTTTTTCGTAAAGGTCAACCTGATGACAGTATCTATGTAGTACAAAGTGGTAAACTTAGTGTATATATTTCAGAAAAAGTAAGCGTTTTTTTTGTTTCACTATATAAGATTTTACTTCTGGATTTTCTATCAGCTGCTACACCTCGTGAATTTATCGATTTAAATCATGAATGAATAATTCCAGTGCTTTTTAGCTTGTGTGGAAAATTCAGTTAAAACTCGCCATGTGTACTCATTACAAACAGCCCTCGACTTTGTGGTCGTTCAGACGACTACTTGCATTGGGCTGAATACAGTTAAGCGGCTTCTCAAATGCATCCAAACTTGTTACATGCATAATGTTTCTGTAGTTATGTTATAATTGCTTTAAGTTATTCTGTGAATATTGATTAGCTAATTTGCATACTATTTCCTAACACTTGTGTTTGATGGAAACCATAGGATGGCTCTGAATCAGTGATGAAGGAAGTCTGTGCTGGTGACAGTGTGCACAGTCTACTCAGTGTATTGGATGTTATAACAGTAAGTTACAATACTTGTTTGTGTTTGTGCTTGTGCTCATTTTTCATTGTGCTTGCATTATTTACAGTGTATTTTAGGGATATATCGTAAAATACTTTATTTTAGCTGGAATTAACTTTCACTGAAAAGACTTTTTGGTTGTTTTGAATGTAAAACATAGGAAAAAAGGTATATTTGCTGGTTTTTATTTTCACTGAATCATTCCTTCAGTGAAAATAGCATAAATTAAATCCAAGCGAAAATAAAGTATTTATAGTACATATATTTTGTTCAGTCAGAATTTATTTATTTTTCCATGATAAAATAATATAGTTATTCCATTTTCAATTTACTTATCTAAAAGCCTTTATGGATAAAATGAATGGAATAAAATGGTAGGCGATGTAGATATATCCTTATGATAAAATATTTGTTATTATTCACATATTTTAGTAAATTTGGTTTGCTACTACTAATCGCACTCGTCACAATGCTGTATAATAATTATTTCTCCACAACTGTATTTCTTATATTGATCTATATCCAAATGATAACTGGTAAATTGTAACAAAATATATAGATACATGTATATTGTAAATATTATTATTTTTATGAAAGACCGGGAACTGTTAATGCAGTCAGGTGAAGGAAGTTGTATGATTTGTTGGTACATTGTAGCAGTGGTCATCTCGTTTAAATCATGTAGTATCGTTGACTTTCATGAACTTTCATCTTCATAACAGACAGTATGTACTCTGTGTGCTACTTCTCACTGTAATTTAAATTACCTCATCTTCATTCAGATTGATATCTTGTGTATTTTGTTTCTTCAAATTAGGGTCATCCAGCACCGTATAAAACTGTGTCAGCTCGTGCTGTAGTGGACACCACTATTCTCAAGTTACCTGCCCAAGCATTTTGTACTGTGTTTGAAAACTATCCAGAATCACTAGTTAGAGTTGTACAGGTAAATATTTAACACATTATAAAATTTTCACATCACCGTAATGCATTTTGTGTAATCTAATATAGGCAAGAATGAAAGGAAGAATGAAAGGCCATAAATTGATTCTAAAATAGCTGTCACAAACTGTTGAAAAATTACAGTCATACAGAGTCAATGTTGGTATTTCCAGACTAACAGAAAAGTTAACCAATAAGGATGTTGGATGGTACCTACATGTTCAAATTATCATAGCTCATTTAAATATGTTAATGACAGTTCAGCGAAATTTACCAATATTGTAGTACATTGATTTTAGTGGGAAAAGTACATGATTTTTTTTTTATTCAAGCAATTATTAGCTTTTAAAAGATAAACTGAACATTGAAGAAGAATTTAGCATTTTTTATGGTGATAACAGCTCATTCTCAAAATGAAGTTTACCTAATCATGCTAGCCACTAAAAACATTGTGCTCTTGAATACATTGTAGGTGTCAATGACTAGGAAAAACCTAGGTGCCAGGAAAGATTGAGATTAGAGATTATTTTGTATCATTGTGATGTTTTATTTCTTCAGCTACACATCTCTGGTATCTTAGCTTACTTCAATATTTCACAGTTCCCACAAGCGTCTAACACAAACGGGCAAGAAACTAAACACATAACACAACACACCAGAATGATGTTCGGAAAATATTGATCTATCCTAAGTGATACATGATTTTTCTCAGCTGTCTTATGATCTCAAAAGTTGACATCTTATCTTTTTTTTTTCTAGATCATCGTTGTACGCTTACAGAGAGTGACTTTCATGGCGTTACACAACTACCTTGGTCTGAGTAATGAACTGATCAACCCGGAAAACCAAAGCAACAAAGATTTCTCTGTACATAATATATCACCAAAGACCAGTCCCACCAAAAGATCACTCAATCAAGAATTGTCTGTGGAGAGTATGGAGAATGAGACAGTGACAGAAATAATTGATTTTGACCAAGATTATCTACCGGAAATCAGTCCAAGCAAAAGTCAACATGGTATGATTGGGGTTGGACAGGAAATCACTATTGTAATACTGTAAAATACTTATTTTTGCTTGAAATTAATCTTCGCTATATTTGCTGAAGGAATAATTCAGTGAAAATAAAATCAAATGAATATACCTTTTCCCTATATTTTACATTCAATTCGTCAAAAATCAGTGAAAATAAATTCCATACAAAACACCCAAAAAGTCTTTTCAGTGAAAATTAATTCCAGCTAAAATAAAGTATTTTACAGGAGTAGCTTGCCCAAAAGTTCAGATTTCAGAATTTAGGCCTGTATTAAAAAAATGCCCAAACCTTTCTCAGCCACTGATCAAACACCACTTTTATTTAACAGGCTTTTGTTCTTATTTCAGAGACTTGATCGAAAACAAATTTTTATACTATAGTATTTATTTTTACCAAATTTTACAAATTCAAGCTGTATCATTTTTTTCCATAATTCTTCAAATACCCGGTAGTTTAATACATAAAAATGTAAAAAAATGTTGAACCAAAATTTTGGCGTTCAGAAGTTTAATTAACCACCAGTTCCCTCTTTTTATCACAAATTCACAAAATAGTTCCATTTATAGTCTGCACTTTCCTTCAGAAGATTTGGACAAAAATAGCCAAATTTTTTGAGTGAAAACTGAAAATTTACTCAGATTTTGTCTGTTGGCTTCAAAATTAGAATTCTTTTCCAGAAATATTGAGGAATATAACAAAAAATGCAGACAAATTGGGGCAGGAATATCTGGTGATGAAAAGGTAAAAGCGTTTAGTCAACTTTTGTCACCTTTCACCAAAAAGCTGCATAATCCCCCCCCCCTCCCCCAAAAAAAATGTTGGTTGAGACTTGTAAGCAATATGCCTACTTGATTCAAAGTTAACAAAAAAATTATAGAAAATACTGTAACAGTAAATTTTCACCGTAATATTAACAGTGTCAAAAAATGGCGTTCAATGAGTTTAAAAGGTCATTATCAGCACATTTCACTGGTTCCTTTTTATTATGTATCGTAATTAGTGTGGGTATGACTTCATTCATTCTCTCACTGTCGGTGACGGCAAGATGTGCACATGGAAATATTTACTGTTAGCACTTTACTTGTACTGTCTCATCATGCCACACGTTGAAAATTCAAGTAAAAGCTGTCTGTCCATTGGAGATGTTGTAGAATAAAAGTGCATGTTTCAATAGCATTGGTCATGATTACGAGATCTTACTAAAAATAGAATCGGCATAGCCAGAAAACGTTATTTATTGCATGAAACAGATTAATGTAGACAACATGTGCAGGCGATAAAGACATGTTCAATCCTAACTGCGATTTAACAATTTGTTGTGGCTTTTCAGTGATTTGTTGCAAGTCCAAGGGAAGTTCACTTCCTGAACAAAGACTTTGTCAAATTATTTCAACACTACAACAGTTACATAGTTACCGGTAGATTTTTGATTACGATTTTGTTCATCTGAATCAAACTGAAATCAATGCTATTGGCAAAGTACTTGTCCTTTAAAAAATTTACATAAATTTAAGACATTATTTATTTCATTGTTCCGCAGCTTTGAATTGCGTGTTTGAAATTCTAAAAACTGCAGCTTGAAGCATTTGAAACTGTTTGACTTGTAAACAAAATTTAGAAATCTTTATTCAACTGGACAGGCAGTTTTTGCAATTAACTCTCCTCCATCCTTCAAACAAAAAAACAGTACAGGTATCTACTGCTGTGGTGATGGGATGTTATATTTAATTTTTATTCCTTTTGTTGTGCGTTTTTCTTTGTCTGTCTGTCTGTGGTGTTATATTTGTGGGCACTGTTATAGATGCGGTGATAAGTGACAGTCCTCTTAAAGGGAGCATGACTTATATGGCTGAACTGCTTGATACACAACAACGAAGATCTCGGAGTTCCTCGTTACCAGCAGGTATGGCTTTCTATTTCATAGCTTCATTTCACATAGTCAGTGGTTGCTTTATTTTTTCCACATTAAACTCCAAATTGGTGTGCTTAACTAAGCCCTGTAATTGGTAGCTTAGAATTGATTGTATTCAACCCGCTATACACCACTCCACAAATTATATATGATGCTATTAATATCTAATTACCCACTAAGATTTATGCAAATATCACACACATGTTCATTGACCAGTTAAAATGCTATACATGTAATACTAATAAATTTTTGTTCAGTCGCAGTCCGAAAACAAGGACTTATGGATTGACCTCCATGCGTGTTTCCGTCTGTCTGTCCATCCACCTCCACCTGTTATGCACCCCCATTCGTTTCATGTTTTGATTCAAGATGACCAAATGGCGACCATTTTAACGTTTTAAATTTCTCAAAATCAAACATTCTGCATTCCGGAACTAGATCTTGGTCATGTATTGATGGATTTCTTTCATACATTGGACATTATGGGACTTTGATGCACATTGTTTTGTTTTCAAATGCTGTTCTAGAGCCATGTTTCTGTCATACCTTGACTTGTCATAATCAAACTTTACAACTACATTATACATCATGTCATATGTTTCAGGTTCTGATTCAAAATGACTGACTCATTTTAGTTTTGTTTATTGTTTAACTAACTATTGACTTGTTACCTGATAATGTTTACATTGACAGCATTTTAATTCAAAAATCGAATCTATCATCAGGAGATGAGTTATTACTAAGCACCATTGCTAAGTGTTAGTGGGAGGCAGGAGGAGTGGTGTACATTTGTATAGTGAATAAAACAATGTAATAATAGGCTGTGTAATTGGTGTTCACCTCTGGAATTTTTACTGTGAAATCATAAGATCCATTGTTAATATTTACTCTACTTTGGTTACTATTGTAAACTTGCTGTTGGATTAGCATCATGGCATCTATGATGTCGATGTGTGCACTTAAATTGACCTTAGACTAAAATAGCCACCAAATTATGTTCAGAGCAAGTTTCATTCTTTTTGCAACAGTGGACATGATGTTGGGATTGTAACACTGTTATATAATAATATACAATTGTATGAGCGATACACCAATGTGTTTCTCATCAGCTCCAACAGGGTGTGATCTTTTTAGCTCCGCTGTCGACTTTGTCGAGCGGAGCTTATCATATGAGTGATTGTCCATCGTCGTCCGTGTCAATGTTTTTCGACTTCTTCTTGAAAACTACAAGCCTGAATGCTTTGATACTTGGTGTATATGTACCTTGGGTAGACTTCTCTCAGATTTGTTCATTTCATGATCATATCTTCAATTCTCTATTTTTGGTGAATATTTTTGTCATTTTGGGTAAAAAGTGATATTTTCAACTTCTTGTTAAAAACCGCAAGTTCAATTGCTTTGATATTACATATATAGGTACTACATGTGGACCTCTCTCAGATTTGTTCATTTCATGATGATATCTTCAATTCTCTAATTTTGGTGAATATTTTTGTCATTTTTGGTAAAAAGTGATATTTTTGACTTCTTGTTAAAAACCACAAGTCCAATTGCTTTGATATTACATATATAGGTACTACATGTGAACCACTCTCAAATTTGTTCATTTCTTGATGATATCTTCAATTCTCTAATTTTGATGAATATTTTTATAATTTTTGGTAAAAAGTGATATTTTCGACTTCTTGTTAAAAACCACAATCATTTATGGTGAAAAATGATATTTTTGAATTCTTATTGAAAACAGCTAGTCCCATTGCATTGATACTATGTATATTGTTCATTTTCTAATGATATCTTCTGTTCTTTAATTGAAATGTGCATTGCTAACAGCGGAGCTATCTCAGCCGAGAGGCTGCTTGTCTTACTATACAATGAACAATTTTACTTCAGACAGTTGCACGATTTTGACACTCACACTGGTAATATTTTGTTACCATGTGGTTGAATACCGTTTGTATATATTGTCAAGGTTGCTGTCTTGAACGTAATACTAGTACTATGTGAAAAAAGACAACAAACATGTACTGCTCAATTTGAGATCTGCTCAGTGTAGATTCAAAACACAGACCTCACTACAGAGGATATTTTACACAGGCCTGATTTTGTCAAATGTGTATCTGTTTTATACTGTTGAATATTTATTACTTGTAGGTGCAAGAAGACCACCTCTTGAACATAGTGGTAGAGCCAGTTCATTGGATCGGGACAGCGCCACAAGTTTGGGTACCTCTCCTTCAGATTTTGATGCAGTGGTAGGCCAGGCTAGAGTACAGGGTTTTGACGACAAAGTGTTGTTTGTTGCATCGTCACCGTCCAATGAGGTAAAGTGATTGGTTTCACATTATGTAGATGTGTCTTGAGAGGTGGTGGAGAGTGAAATAGAAAGAGTGATGTTGACTTCCCTGTTCACTTTGTGCAAGTTATATACATTGTATACTGTACTCGATCGGGTTAGCACCCAGGGGCCTCAACTCAGAAAACCATGATTT